ATGTAGAGAGTTATTTGAGGTGGAACCTTTTCTTAAAATTACACCGGGCCTAAATTTTGAAGTGATTCTTACGCAAAGAGCGAATCATGCTTGTGATTACATAATGGAGATGCCTAAAGAGCAGTGGGAGGCAGTGGACAGTTTGGTGGGTTCATCCTATTTTGCGCATGATCTGGGCTACTTGTTTAGGTTTCTGTAGGCGGTGACGGCTTGTTCAATGAAGTTTTGTCGGGAGCTCTTATTCGCACACAGCGAGATGCAGGTAACACTCGCTCATACGTTTATGGAAGCTCTCATTTGCAGATTTTTAGGAAATCATTTTGATGATCGAGAATCTTCGCAGTGGCGGATTCCCCACGTCCGTTTTGGAATAGTTGGTGCTGGTTCAGTGAACTCCATTGTGCGCACAATACATGGAACTATTGATCACGCCACAGCTACAATTCATATCGTTCTAGGTAGAAACTTTCTCTTGAATTTCTATTTCCTGTTTTGCTATACTGCTTGGAAAGCAGGCGAAAAAATAGAGAGCAAGTCTTCACTAGGAAAGATAAACATTCGCTCTTCATATTGTTTCGCAGTACTTCCTCATGCAAACACAGCACTTGCTTTTTATAGGCTCTGAATGTAAGGTAGACGTATGCGCAATTTATGGAGACAATCACCTATTACGTGTTTCCGCAAACGCGGTTGCTTATTGCTGGTCGGGAGAGCTTCTACGAGACTCTGAGCGCTTCAGATGCTTCGGCCCAGCTAGATACCAGTGGAGTGGTAAGCTCTAAGCGCATTTCATATAAGTCTTTTTAGTGTTTTTTGCAGCAATATGGACTACATTACGTCACCCCACCTACAGAGGAAAAGTATCGTTTTCATTATCGTCGAGAGAAACAAAGAATCCTCGCAAAGCGCTTCCTCCTTGTCTTTCTCCCTGCAACAACTGCAACCAATTGTTAAGGTTAAACTTTCTTTTCGCAATGCATTTTTGAAATGTATACACCGAGTCGCTTACTTCTAGATGCTTTAGTAGAGCAAAATTTTGAAAAAGGTGATTCAATTCCTTTCAAGATGCGCGATTATGTAAAAGTGAGATATAATAAATGAATTTGCGGGAATAAGTCTACTAACTATCTCTTTGTTTTCATGGCTTCAGAAGCTTCTCAAAAAGGAAGAACGTAAACTGAAGTTGATTTATATTTTCTTGTTCATCTAGCAGGTAAACTCTATGCAAAAAGCCATTTTCTCGTATTTTAACACCATACTTTAAGTAGAGGTAAAAATATAACTGCATTGCCGTTGTTCGTGATTCTCAGAGTTTTAGCGAAGATCAGCAGATGGTCTCCTCGCTTCATTCGGACTACCACTGGCACAATGAATTCACGCATATAATCTGTTGCGTGATTCCAACATTCACATCGTACTCACATTATCCTCTAGCTCCATTTACAGGTAAAAACTTTGAAGTTCAAGAAGATGCTTCTCAAAATTTTCTCCCCTATAAGGTACATGTGTAATAAAGCATTTTTGTCCGCTTTTGAGAAATGCATCAAGTTGTACTGCGATAAAAAA